TATAATAAATAAAACTAGTATTAAAATATAATATATATGAATTTTATAATTTTTGATTATATAATTAAGGATTTAAAGTTGAAATTTATAATAAAAACATAGTAAGTGAACTCAAACTTTTGGAAGCAACTTTATATACTTATTAACTAAATTAAAGAAAAAAAAGTATAAAATATATAAATATAAAATAAATTTATTGTTACTATTATAATATATTTACTTTTTATTCTTTAGATTTTAAAAATAATATATAGATTAAAATAAAAAATTTTTTTTCAAAAATAATTTTCAAAATTTTAATTAACAAGTTGTATATAACTAGTTATATCTTAATATGAATATGTTCAATAGATTCAAATTCACTTTAACCTACTGAGAACAAAATAATTTTTTTTACAATTACTGTATCTCTCACATAGAACAAGATTAAATTTCGAAAAATGTTTATTAATTTTTTTAATTTTTTAAAATGTATAATCTGCATGATAATTTGATTTGTAATATGCATTTTGGTTTCGGAGTCATTAAATTTTGAAAGATTTACAATAGAGCTACTCAATTGAATTCGCAATTTACCCAGGATATGTAAAGGTGGCACAATAAATAATAAAGTTATTTCTCATTCTGTTCATATTGCCATTGTCCCTTTGGTGGCGGATCTTCAAGCGGTTCCCATCTATAATGGATATTATCTAGTTTAGTATACCTATATTTAAACTGCACATGGCAATTATGGTGAACAAATAAGCTTTAACTTAACATTTTCCACTCTTTAACTTTGTCTACCAATTTAAGTTCATCCTCTGCCTGCCAAATAACCTCTTCAATTATTCCCGCACCAATCTTGTTCTCAATCTCTTTTACATCTTCATTAGATTCTACAATCGAAAGTCGATATTGTGTCAAGGCTTCAGTGGCTTGACGATAAACAGCAGTAGGGGGAATCTGTGTTAGAGATTCCAAAGTTTTCTTGTATGTGCTGAGCAAATGATGTCTTGGATTCGGATGAACTGCCAACCCAAAAAGTTCCGTGGTAGTCTTTATTATTGAAGGAGAAAAGTGAATGGAGGCCAGGAAAATGAGAAACCTAATTTCATGATTAAATTCTATAGCCCTCGAACCTTCTGAGCAGCGTTAAACAAAATACGAGTAATTTTCATCGTAAGACGTCAAGAATATCTCTACAGATTTTATAATGGTAATAAATTAATAATTTCGAGATGTTCAAGAATTTTTGCGAAGTCTAACCGATATCTTTTCAATTAAAGAAAATAGTTCTTAAATACGCGTGCATCTATTTATGGGCATGTAACATTTATTCGAAGAATTTCTATATGCAATTAATAATTTAGAAAATTTATTAATGCAGCGCCAATTTCAAAATATAATACAGGAAACTCACCAAATCGTGAAGATAAAAATGGTGAAAATTTTTTTCCATTTTTTTTTTTTTTTATGTCACTTATCACGTGACTAAATGTCGATCAGAAAACTAAATTATAAAAAAAAAAAAGATAATTTACAACTATATTATATACTATAATTTAATCTTTATTGAAAAGTTTATATAACTATCTATAGTATTACAGATTTTTTATATAATAATCAATTTATTATTACACTAAAGTACTCTAAATCAGGTTTAGAAAACAATATTTACTTCTCTAGAAAATTAATATAAATCTTATATTAAAATAACAAATTGTTAAGTTAATAAAGAGAATGAAAAAAAAAAAAAAAAAAGAATACAATTCAAGTTTATTTAAAAAATTTTATTAACTGAATAATTTTCTTTTAAAAAGATTTATCCAATTGAAATATTTTTTTTATTTTTATTTAAATCTTAAAATTTTTTTCTTTATTATCACCTATAATATCAAATAAGTCAATTTAACTAGACCTATTATTTAAGTAAGTGCTAAATTGAAATAGCTTATAAAAAATCCAAAAAATCTAATTTCTAGTTAAAAAAATCTTTTTATTATTTAAAAAACTTAAAAAAAATAAATTTTATAATTTAAACTATTAATTATTTGTTTTTTAATATCTTAGATATCTTTTTAAAAACTTGAAACTTTTAAAGAAAAATAATTTCTGAAACTTTTTTTGTAATTATTATTAATATCATCAAATACATGAGTATAATTAATAAGAATTTGTTTATGTTTTATAATTAATATGTTTTGTATTAATCAATTATTTTTAATAAAGATTTATATTATTTAAAATTCAGAATCAAATTGAAATAGATAAAATTTTCAAAAAAATCATAAAAGTAAAAATTCTAAGAAAACTAAAATAGTTAGAAAGAAAAAAATAAGTTTTTTTATTGCAACAAAACTTTTATAAAATAATTAAAATATTATTTTCTAAATTATATTTAGAAAAATATTTTTTTTATAATAATTGAGTTGATATATAAAAGTTATAATATTTTGTAAATATTTAATATATTAAAAATAAAGGTATCCACTAGCTAATAAGTTTTCTCAAATAATATATAAAAAAGAAATCAAGATCAAAAATAAATAAAATTTTCAGATGGTCAGAAGAAGAAAAATTATTTCAATTAGATATTTTTTATTGAGAGAAAATCTTGAAAAGTAAATTTTTAGAGAAAGCTAAAGAATTTTGTTTTATTTTATTTTTTTGTTTTCTTATAGTCTATTTAAATATTTTTAAATATTCCCTTTCCTTTTTTATCAATTCAACATTTTATAGTTTTTTGTATTCCAGTAACTTAATAGGATATTTAACAGTAACAATTTATCAATAATAAAGTAGTAAACTAAAAAAGTATTTATACAAAGACTATTATAGAGAAAAATATTATTTTTAAGCTCAAACTTAGAAGCTATTATTGTTTAGGACAAGTTTATTAAATTTGATAAAAATGTTTAGTTATAATATATATCATGCTTCTCAAGTAAAAATGTACTTATGTTTTCAATTAATTAATAAACTATAATTTAACCTGGTTATAGATTTACAAAAAAAAAAAATAAAATCAAAGAAAGTATATATATATTTTTTAAATGAAAGCTCAGTCATGTTTATTAACTTTGATAACATAATATACAAATTAATGTAGAGATTACAAAGATTGTCAC